CACAAGATTAGGTCGATATGTGTACAGAAAACCCACGAATGCAGGTTTCCTTTTGAATTTCTTTTCCAACCACACGTATGGAGTTAAAGTAGGAGTTATGAAATCTATGATAATAAGGAACCTCCGTCTGGCAGATGTTAAACATCAGGACCAGGAACTGAGGAAACTAAGGCGAATTCTGGTTGAGAATAATTATCCAGGAGGACCGGTTGACAACTATTTTAGGATATTGTCAGAGAATGAAGGGAAATACATATTTGGGGCTAGATAAAAAGATAGATCATTCTATCAGGATCCTTATGTTGCCATCGTGTAATCTGCCGAAGAAGATAGGCGAATCACTGAGGAGGTGGGGCATCAGGACCATTTATAAAGAGAAAATAACATTGTCTTTGGTACTGCTTTCTTTTCGATAATATTCTGACCCGCTTTCCAGATCGGGCTGTTACAAGATTGTGTTCATGTGTTAGTGCCTATGTGTGAGAGACCTGTAGACCCATACATAAGAGGTTATCCGAAAATAAGACAGCCTGCAAGGGTATGTCGATTCAAAAATTATAATTGGCCGAACACGGCTAGCACAGGACACCACATAGATTGATCTAATTCCAAGCGCTTAGCTGGATAGGGAGACTATACCAATAAGCGAAAGATTCGGGTAGCGATTGAAATCAACAAATCGGTCAACACCCTGAATAGTGGGAATGAGTGTAGGAAGTTAAGCGGAAACTACTTGTGACTGTTGGATAGGTCTAGGGAGAGAGAAGAGAGAGAACGAGATGTACCACCGAGCATGAATTGGAGGCTTGATTAGGCTCGAATCTGGTTTTGATTCTCAATCACACTTTTTTCAAGAGCAATGCACTTACACAACACGTGTGAAATGGGATGCAATCACATGCGGTAACATTGCAGGATCAAAGGCATACGTGTTTTAGAGGAGGGTGCAGCTATTCAGTTTAAATGTCACCCATTTCAAGCTTCATCTGTAGCCACTTCACATGTTATCCGCAGCCACTTAACTTATGAGCACATATAGAGGCAAAGCATAGAATATCCAACCAAAACATGAGATGCCTAAGTGGACCAAATTGGAATATAAGAAGGAAGTAGGTTTGAAGCCGGCCACCTTTCTTGCCTTTGCATTTTTGGTGAATTATCGTTAATCATGGTGTCATGCTAGGACGAAAGCTCAGCAAGAATTTTTTGCGTTCGTAGGGCGGTGCGTCGAGGGCCTATTCGCACAAATCTACAATCACAGCTCCAAGGCAACCCGCGTATAGCCTCTGGTTGTATCATCTTATGAATCCCTTCCGCTCGCCTCTTCAACCCAAATGAAATGGTCTCCAACAGTCAGGTTATTTGTTTGTACAATCATTAATATGATTTGCTCCTTCTAAATTATTTTACCAGGAGCCCAAGTGTTCTGGCCATGGTGTTTGTGATTGTGGCCAATGCTTCTGCAACAGCGGCTACACTGGCAAGCTATGCAACGAATTACAGGGTGGTGAATCTGCCCTATGCACTGACCGTGATGTCGAAGTTTGTGTCCAGTGCTTGCGCTCAAGCCTGATCGGAGCTTTCGATGATGAAATCATTGAAGACATCGGACCCGCGGACCGATCGATTTACTCGTTTGCTCAGTTACATTCTTCATCTTCTAATACTGAAGGCGCATCTGGAAAGACTGATCGCTCTCTACAACGCGCTATTTTTCGGTGAGCTTACAATTGGAACTTTCTTATTCTGAAACATTAATTTAAACGCTTTAAATTTACACTATTAAATCTTTCGGGCTCATGGTTTTTGTACAAGCGCAATCGTTTAGCCCTTAATGACGTCTACTGTACTGGCATGCACTTCCACTATAAATTTGGATTGGTCTGGCTTGTATTGTTAATCACTTTTGGGTTATGGTCCTTACATGGTCATTACTTGACGTGAACGATCCAATTTCAAATCTCATTGTGGGTGCTGATGATACCTAAATGAGGTCGAAATTGCAGTCAATTCTAGGCGAGCCAACCTCATGGGAGGCAAGGCCAAGTGAAATTCACTGACACCATGAGGTCTCATCATTTCACTGGGGAAAATTCAACTTTCTATCTTTACAGCACCCTATGAGACCTAAACTGACTCAAATTCATAGCCATACATGGTCTTAAAATTATGTTATCTCATCAATTAATAAATATAATTACCACAATCTAATGAATTTGCGTCATTCATTTGCTGTGATATCCTTAATTCTTCAAGTATTGATGAACGCAGTTCCTCGTTCTTTGCATGGAATCACAGTTTTGTACTCCATTAAAGGCGAATACTTCCTATGGCTACGTTATCAAGAAACTGGCATCTTTTTTGCATCTAGATTAATTTATTATAATGTTTTTTATCCCGATACATCAAATGATTAATCTATTACTCTGGGCTTTGCACTTTATAATGACTCGACTTAGTTTCTGCCTAGTAGTCTCTTCTCCACATACTAGTTTGCATTACTCCCCTTCCCTCCCTTTTATTATTTACCTCCCTGTTACAGCCGTAGATACGAAGCTATTCGCCTTCATGACAATGGCCTGAATGAGTTTACCGGTTACGCGAGTTGGGAGTATGCCTGGGCGGCTAGCCAATGCCAGACCGAGTGTAATTCAACTAGTGTTGTTGATACAAGGCGTGTACGTCTCGTAGATCAGGCGGCCATCAATCACCAGACTGCTGGTGGAGGTAGTGGGTCTGCTCTAGGAGGTGGGGCAAGTAGCGGTAATGGATTAGGAGCTGGTATCGAGGCTACTGACGAGTCCAGTGATTCAGACGATGTTGGGTCTGCCCCTTCAGGACAGTCAGGTCTAGTAGTGTCTAGCAGCAGTGCTACTGGATCCAATCTCTGCATTATCTACACTGCCGACAACTGCCGTGTCCTCTTCACATATCGCTATTCGGATGCCATCTACGTCGATAGAAAGGCAACTCCATTATTTTATTTATACATTTATAATATAAATCATTACCTTCTTTTGTATCGTCTTTTTATTTATTTGGTGTATCCATTTTTATTTTTGTTTTCTCTCGTAGGTAATAAATTTTTGTGTGTTAGTTTGACCTTGTTTTCCTAATTTGGTCGGAGCGTCAGGGAGACCTTGTGGAACGTACCTAGTCCCGTATCCTCTGCCATAGTATTCGTGATTTCCAGCATTGGACTATTGGCTGGGTACATTCCCTAACGTTTCACCGACATCGTCAATGAGAAGCGCCATCGTAAGCACAGAGTTACAATTTATCAAAGTGACGAGCGAAGGCAATCCCTTTGACCAATTTTCTTTTCAACCGTTGGGGCATCAAATCCTCGCCCATATTTTTTCTTATACCTCCTAGGCCACAACATCTTGGTCTTCATATCTAAGAATAACTTTATTTTCTACCTTATTTAGTTTTTAGATTGTCATTTGTTGTTGCTAGTGTCTTCAACGCCTGATGTAGTTTAAGGCATTTTTAAGCATTCTTATTAATCGAATCTGTAGGACGAAATTCCTTACCATGTTTAAGCCAAATGTGGAGCAACTTTGAAAAAAACATAGTGGATTTACTTAATAACTTGTGGATTTTTAAAGCTCTCCTGTATTGGCTATACTTCGAGACTGACTTGCAATTTTCCCAAAAGTCTTTGGCTAGGATAAATAATTTATTCCTCAGTTAAAGGTTATTTTTCAATGAGGAAACTACGGTAAATAGCCTATTTAACAAATTGCTCGACAAATGGCCAATATGCACTTTAGAAGAAATATAAATGCCCTCGGACAGGCGTGACAATGATTCAATTCAATTTCATACTTTGAGATTTAAGCCAAATGGAATTTCGTGTGTCTAAAATATGATGTTCACGACTTTGCCAGATGACCCATCTTTGTTTATTTGGTTTACACGAACTAACTCATATTTGGATTACTAATCCCAGTCTTTAGAGAATCTGCCCATATCGGCACACTAATTCGAATATTTCGATTCTTTAAAAGAATGCGATACTGGATACAAGCTCTTGGATACAATACTTAGCTATCCACTTGAGTTATTTTTATCTCACTTGTCTTCAACACCCTTCATATCCATACTTTTTATTTTTCTCTATCCATCAGGTCGACCTAAACATCGTTCGCGAGAGTGAGTGCACTAAGACTATCAACATAGTTTACATCGTAATCGGTGTGATTGCTGGCATTGTTTTTGGTGGTCTTATTCTTTTGCTCATATACAAGCTGGTTATCACGATTGATGACAAACGCGAGCACGCTAGGTTCATGATGACTACAGACAATATGAAATGGGAAATGGCTGAAAACCCCATCTTTCAGCCACCCACTACAAAAGTGATGAATCCCACTTTCGATGAGAACCTCTATTAGATCCTTTTATTCTACACAGTTTTGAAATTGTTTATTGTATTACCTACTTATCCTTCGTCTCCGTTCAGAATTACCTTCAGTTTCTACTATCTTCCTTTATTTTTTCACTTCCATCATTACTTTCTTTTCTCCATTATCATCATAGTGTGTACGGGAACGTTGCTTAGTTATCAATACACTCCTTTCTTTTGCCACTGTTATGTGATTGCTTTTTCTTCTTATTTCACATCTTTCTCCCATCTTGTCGATCCATTTTTTGTTATTAGTCCT